AGTACAGTTCTGAGAAAGTGTCAGCCAGGCCGGTGGGAAGCCCCAGAGCAAATGGCCCCAGCAAGCTCAGTCACTGACTGTGGGCAGCCTGGAGGAGGCGTGGCCTTGGCCTGAGTGAGCACTGTGGCAGACGCAGAGGGGTGGGGAGTCTGAAAGCGCACCAGTGGGAGGCAGGCAGCCAGCTACAGCAAGTTCTCGTGCAGACAGATAGGAGCTGTGCACACTTCTTTTTTTTTTAATGTTATAATCACTATTTTTATTGTTTTGTCCAAATAACAATCGCATTGACAGAGAATATCTTAGGAGAAAAATGCTCTAAAGTAGGAAATAAATTAATTGAAAGAAAATGATACCTGCTGTACTTGGAAATTATAAGACTTTTTTGAAGTCTTACCTAGGGCTGCCTAAGTCTTTGAACCAGTGACTCCTCTTAAAATAGTTGTGTTGCTCACTTAATAAACAGCTATACTTGTGACTGAAATGGCAAGTGATAGTGGGTTTGGAATAGATCATTTTAAACCATGTTCATAAAAGAACATTCTTTTTAAATAGTTTAAGAATATATCGAATATAAAAAGGTAAAGTTCAACCATGTGGCTTCACTTACCACTTTTGAGGAGATGACTCATAAATAGATCTTAATTCCAGACTTCTCTAAACTCTTGAACTTTAGAACCCACTGCCTACTTGATATATTTTTAGGTGTCTTAAAGTCAACTCAAACTCAACACTGTTTAAAACGGAGCTTATGAGCTTCCCTCTCAAACTTGGCCCTTTTCCAGCGTTTTCTAGGTGAAGATTCCACCATCCCTCCAGTTATACAAGCTGGAAATTCATGCAGAAGTCATCCTTTGTCCCCCCACTCCCCCGCCTCCCCTCATCTACTCTATTACCAAGCCCTTTCAATTACTTTGTAAGGATCTCTTGAACAACTTCCTCACTATTTTCATTCTCTGCCACCATCTAGCCTAAGCTTGTGCTGGCTTAGTCCAGCTCCAATCAGTCTGGGTCCAGTCAAGATACAGAAACTATATAATAATCTGATCAAGGAAAGTTTAATTTCAATAACTATTAACTACAGCAGGGATTTGTAATAACAAGAGATTGGCTAGTAATAAGTAAAGAGAGCTGTAAAAAATGTAGAAAATAACAGACATAAGGAACAGCCACTACCTCTAGGGCCACATAGAGTGTCCAAGGCTGAGATTCACACCTGGCTGAAAATCTGTCCTCTGGATCTCTTTAAAAATCTGCTTTGTAGTGTGTTCGGGAAAGCTGTTCACGGGAGGTGTCTCACTGTAGCACTCTGCTGTAGAACTGCCTGGGGAGAACAAAGTGCCAGGTAAAGCTTCCGGGTGCGGGTGCTGTGGGCTGCTGTGCAGTGCAGGAGCCAGGTGCTGGAGCACCTACGAGCCCTGCCGAGTCTCACTCTGTTGCCTGGGCTAGAGTGCTGTGGCGTTAGCCTAGCTCACAGCAACCTCAAACTCCTGGGCTCAAGTGATCTTCCTGCCTCAGCCTCCCCAGTAGCTGGGACTACAGGCGCGCCACCACACGCGGCTAATTTTTCTATTTCTAGTAGAGATGGGGTCTCGCTATTGCTCAGGTTGGTCTCGAATTCCTGAGCTCAAGCGATCCCACCTCGGCCTCCCAGAGTGCTAGGATTACAGGCGTGAGCCACCGCACCCAGCCTCAGTGCATTCTTAATACTCAGCCTCTCTTGGGTGACTAATCAGTGAATCTTCCTTCCGTTTTCCCTGGCAATGACTTACACATTGCCTTGTCGTGAGGAGAGGTGTCGGGGACTGAACTCTCTCTGGTCCTCCAGGTCTTGCCTACTGGCTACCTTCTTGGGCCAGCATTCTACACCTCTCTGATTTCTGCTCATCTCAAAATTCACGAAATCTGTGACTGCTTTATCCCCAACTACAGCCTCTTGTGGGCCCACCATCTTGTCCAGACCCAATTCTGACTGCCTCCTGGGCCGTGGGTTGGCTGTTCTTCTGCAACTACAGCAGGTGGGGGCCACTGTCTGTGAGGCAGTCCTCCCCAAGGCCGTTCTCCTCACCCTTTCTGATGTGGTGGAGGCAGGCTTCCCTTAAAGGCCTGCACCCTTGGAAAGTGAAGAACGAGTCCCCTCCTCTTGGGCTGTAATCCCTTCTGGGGCTTCTTTTCCCCCCACCTTCCTCGGTGGGGGGTGTGCAGGGTGCTGGCCACTTCTCAGGGACCTTCCAACCTCAAGTGAAGCTACTTCCTGCCAGTTCTCTCCTGCCAACTGGTCAACTCTTGATCTCCTAAGTAAAGCCTCATCTTCCTTATCAGGCACTTATTCCCACTCTTGTTTTGGGGATAAACTATTAACGCCTCCCCTCCTTCAAGCTTTGGCTCTTCATCCTCCCAATCAAGCTTTTTTATTTTTATTTTTTAAAATTTAATTAACGCCCTTTTTTCTCAGAGAGCTGGGTTGTGTAATTGAAACAATGGTTTTCAAGAAAATAGTCTGCTATAGATTTATAAAAGTCTCCTTAAAGGTTCACATTCAGGGGCTAAGCACGTCTCATCCCTGCCTCAGGAACGGGTTGCACAGAAAGCTTTTCCTGGTGCTTCAATGGTGGCCGTGTGGCGCCAGAGGGTAGGGAAAAGGACTCAAAAAGTCTCCAAGTTCAGGGTCACAATATACATCCTGCTGTAGTTCCCTCCTGGGATTGGTGGAACTGTAGGTGATTCCCACTCTTCTTCTTTTGGTCTGTAGTTCCTGAATTTTCTACAATAAATACGTATTTTTTTATAATGAGAAATATAATGACAAAAGTTCTATAAATAAAGGGACATTTCCAGGCATTTAGGTCTTTAATGCTAAGGTTTATTTGTTTTTTTTTGTTTGTTTGTTTTGAATGTTTGGTACCCTAATGATCTCGCCTCACCACAGTGACTGGACTCTTTGCAAGGGGGAGGGTAGCGGGTGGGTGGTGAGGCTGGAAGCAGCGGTGAGGGGAGAGGCCATGTGGACATCTCCTTCCTTGTTAAGGAAGAGCATGAGGTAGGCCCCTGGCTTGCTGACCTCAGGGTGAGGCTGCAGCTCCTGCAGGACCTTATTAAAGGACAGTGTCTTTTTCTTTTTCATATGAGAGAACAGGACTTTATTAGCATCGTTCCAGGCATTGCATTACATAGGAACTGAACGTTGGCATGCACGACCCCAGCTGAGCTTTCAGCACATAAGTCACAGCAGAAATAGAATCACCCTTGGGATTTCAGATAAAAGTTGGAAGTTCACCTTTCGAAAAGATAAAAAGAAACCCTTCTTTATACATTAAAGCGACAGCGCTCAGGCAGCAGAGCATTCCAAATATGAACATTTGCTCGACCCCTTCCCACGGTGCTGGAGCACACATTGTCCCCTCTTGGCCACGCCAGGGTTTTCCTGGTTTTTTAAAAAAGCTTAATTTAAGGACTTTATAGGTCTATCTTTTATAGTACTTTATGTTCCTGTTTTTTATTCTTACGAATTTTTGATTTCATGAAAGTATTAGCAAATAATTGTAAAAGCTAATCTTCGAGCACACGAGGGTTGGTGTGAGGCAGGGCCCAGCTTCTGCCCCGCTGTCCTCTTGGAGCTGCCGGAGGCCGTGGGAGCCGGGTGCGGCTGCGGTGGGCCCAGAGGCTGGCCCCAAGTGGCCCCAGAAGATGCTGCCCTTGCAGCCATGAAGTGGCTCTGGCGTTGGGCTGTGGCTGGAGCTGCGGCAGACAAGGCCGACACAGGGCTGAGGGCACACGCTGGGGCTCGTGGTCCACCAGTACGGGTGATCTTGAGGGAGGGGGTGGGAGGGCGAGTGTGGGTCGCAAGGCTTCTTTTCAGTGTGGGCAGCTGGTGGGGGTCAGGAGGTCCCAGAGCCCATCACATTGGCTCCTCTGCAGCTGAGGAGAAAGAAGGCCAGAGAGGGGCTGTGCATGTATTTTGCCTGGGGACCCATGGCCAGTTAATGGCAGGGTTGGGCCCAGAGCCCAGGCCTCTCATGCCAACCCAATGGTCTTTCTGTTTCAACAGGGATGGCTGGGAGCCCTGGGAGCTGGGGAAAAGCAACTGTCCCGGTCCTGGGTGTCCCCAGCTGTCATTCGTGGAGGAGGGACACATTAAACTGGCCCCCATGGGACAGGTCTGAGTTGGGGCAGATAGCCCCTCCCCACTGTCCCCCAGGGGACTTGTGACTCAGGGTTTCAGGAGCAGGGCTGGGCTTCCTGCCCCTCAGATGGAAGAGGGGGACCTGCATGTGAGCTCCAGCTGTAGCCCTTGCCCCTAGAATGTGGCTGGCCACAGGCACTCACTAAGTTTTTAAAAAACGAGTGAACAAATGAATACATGACCATCACCATCATTGTAGAAGTGGACCAAGTTTGTTCTTAAGGTCACCTCAAGCCCACTGTTGCTGTGTCCTTCCCTCTCGGGGGCATTTCCTGGCCTCCAGGCACCTGGTCACAGAGGCTACATCTGACCCACCCCTCCATCCTGAGATGCCACCTCTGACTTAGAAAACGACAGTCAGGGAAAGAGACATGTCTCAGGGTGCTGGAGTCTGATGATGGTGGAGTTCCTGGCATCTGAGGAGGAGACGCTTTGGGCAGCAAAGTGTGATTTCCCCTGAGCTCCATTAAGGGTTGGCTTTGGTCAGAACGTGTCAAATCCTGACTGTCAGGGAGTCCTTAGGGTAAGCTGTGAGGCCGAGGGCTGGGGCAGGGCGAGGGAGCTGGGACTCAGGCCTGGCACTCAGGGACAGGGATTCTGAGGAGAGGGGAGTGCGCAGGCTCCCAGAAGAGGTACTTTCCTGATGGTGCCACCAGAGGCACTCAGAGAGCTGTGCCATGAGAGGGAGGATGGAACAGCCAGCAGGAGTGGCCACCTCTTCCTGCTTGGGGAACAGAAGGGCCTCCAGCCCTGATGGGTCACGACTTGCCCCCTTTCCCCCAATTGGGGGCCTGGACTCACCTGGACGGCTGAGTTCTCCTTAGAAGTAGGGGCTGAAGAGACACTGGAGAGGGCTGGACGAGGTTGTACACGCCCCCAGGGCCTGCACAGGGACACCATTAGGGCCAGAGTCACCCTCAGCTCCCCATTCCCAGCTCTGAGGGGGAGCTGGGGGTTCCTCCGGGAAGGGGCAGCTCTCACCCCCACCTGCTGCCTAGTGGGCGCTCTTGGTGTGACCTCATAGACCCCTGAGGCCCCGGGCCTTGGGGGTTTAGAGCCCGAGGAGGTGGGATGTTTGCTCCAGAACACTTTGTAACCCCCACCCCCCCCTCACACACACACACTGGCCGTGATCACAGCCCCGTCCCATAGTGGGCATCAAACTACACGCCTGAGGCTGTCTCTGCCTTCCCATCCTCCCCCTCTTCCTTTCGGTTATGACTTCCCCTCGGCCACCCGGACTGCCTTTTGTACACGGAAACAGTGAGGGCCCTCCCTGTTTGGGCGGCGCACCTGGAGCTGCCCCAACCCAGGGCGGCTGGGCCTCCCGAGATCATGGCTCAGAGAGGGTCGGGGCTCTGGGAGCCGAGGGGAGTCCCAGGACCAGCTGGGGGGGCTGGGTGTACCTGGCAGGTGACATGGGCGTCTTGTCCCCTGGACACCAGGGCCTGCAGCTGGGGCGTGTACTGCTCCACGAATTGCTCGCACTGAGGAAAGACAGACACTGCTTGGGGTGGACCAGGCCCGTTACACCAGTCCTGGCCTCTCCGCCTCTCTTCATCACTCAGCGCTCCCTCCCAACTCCATGTCTAGGTCCCGCCATCAGCGCCTCTGGCTGCAAGTAAAACCTGTAACAAGTCGGAGCCGGCTGGCGTGGAAGGCTTCCCACAGAAAAGCCAGCGACATTAGAGATGGAGGGTCTTAAAACTCAGCCAGAGGGACAGAATCCTAGCCACCACCTCCCCCCACCCGAAGTTTCAGTTCTAGAAGGAATCTGAAAGTTCGTCTGGTCCTTGAGACCTGACGTGAGCGGGTAGGACAGTGCCGAAAGCTGCCTCCCGGGACAGCGTTGGCCGGCTGGCCTTGGCACACCATCTTGCTTTAGGCAGGGAATTTCCTGTCACTGACTCTGAGTACAGGCAGGGGTCCTGGGACCTTCAGGCCCTGTCCTTTTGCAGGTGGGTTTGTCCCCAGTGAGTCCCACCTTGAGGAGGGTGGGGGCAGGGACAGGACTGAGACCCTGGGGAGGCCAGGCCCTGCCTCTGCTCCAGGCAGCCCCTGCGTTATTCACCTCCTGGTCATACCCAGGCCGGCGGGACTGGGCAGGGGCTTATTCAGCCCTTGATGGGGACCTGCTGGTCTTCTGGAACCCACAGCTCTAGAGGTGACCCCTGATTCTTAGCAGGTCTTGCCTTAAGTTATAGTCCTGCCATTGTCTGACCCATGTGCTTTTTGCCTGTCTGGGCTCCAGTCCGGCCCACCCTGTGTCTCTGGCTGCAAAGCCTCTCCTGGGCTCAGCCTTCCACCATGCATAGACCATGAGTCCCTCTGTTCCTGCTCCCCACCTTTTGCCTGTCCAGCCAGGAGCCGAGGCAGGCCTGGCGCATGGCCTGTGGCATGGCCTGCTCGCTGCTGTTTCTGGCCTGGGTGGCCACAGACATGCAGAGGCGGCACTCAGAGTCTTGCGGCAGCCATTCTCCTGGCAGGGACCCCAGAGTGGTGAGGGCTAGAGAGAAAACAGTCAGGGCTGCCCTGCAGACATGTTTGGTTCCTGTCATGCGGGGCCAGGGCAGGGGGAGGAGGAGAGTGGGCAGTGGGCCGAGGTGGGGGCAGCAGGCTTACCTGGGCCAGCGCCGTCCTCGCTGGAGCACCGGAGGACAAGGCCGCAGACCAGCTGGGGCACCACACGGCCCAGCAGCGCGTCCAGGAAGATGACAGTGTAGCGCTCGGCCAGGCACTGGCAGATGCCGCCCACCACCAGGGGTACCACGTGGCATACCTGGGCCACAGCCACGGCCAGCACACCCTGGGGCAGGGGCAGAGAGAGGGCAGCATGGGACCTTCCCTTGGTAAAGTCGTACACATGCCCTCATTCCCTCCTAGAGGGGAGAGTAAGGCTGTTTATGGATCAGAGAGTCCAGGGGACTCGGGGACTCACCTGGAGTCACTGAGTGCAGGAGCCAGCCATGGACCTAGGTCTCCAAAGGCCACAGACTGGCTGGGAGCATGGCTAGCCCAGAAAGGTGGGCCTCACCGAGGCCGCATGGCAGCCTGGCCAGAGCTAGGACCAGAAGCTGTGTCTTCTCCCCCGACCTGGGGCTTGCTCTGCTTTCCCACGGGTGGGTCAGCTGCTATCTCCCACAGCCAACATGTCCCTGGTTTTATTTTATTTATTTATTTTTTTGAGACAGTCTCACTCTGTTGCCCGGGCTAGAGTGCCGTGGTGTCAGCCTAGCTCACAGCAAGCTCAAACTCCTGGGCTCAAGCAATCCTCCCTTTCTCAGCCTCCCAAGTAGCTGGGACTACAGGCACTCACCACCATACCCGGTTAATTTTTTTTGTTTCTATTTTTAGTTGCTCTCCTAACTTTTTCTATTTTTAGTAGAGATGGGGTCTCCTCTTGCTCAGGCTGGTCTCGAACTCCTGAGCTCAAGCAATCCGCCCGCCTCGGCCTCCCAGAGTGCTAGCATTACAGGTGTGAGCCACTGTGCCCTGCCCATGTCCCTGGTTTTAGGAGCCCCTGGGGAAGTTTCTCCACCCTACCCTGTGTCCAAACACAACCTCCGAGCTGAAAGGCAAGGAGAGAGGTAGCAAGCTCACGGCTCTTTCCTTCATGGCATCACCCCTTCACACGTGCGCCAGGCCGCCCTGCGCCTCCTGCAGGCCCAGCTGTCCCCGGCGCTGGGAGGGGGCGGTAAGAGCAGGGCCAGGGAAGTGAGTGTACTTGTCCTTGTGTGATTCGCCCGGTGGGTGCACTGCACCGATTGTACGCGGGGCCTGCCCGCCTCACTAGTGCTTCACGCCTGCACTGTCCTCTCTCTCCTGCCCTCACTGACCCGCCCCACCCCCTCTGCTCACCTTCCCTGAGAAACTTCTTGACATGTTGTCAGTACTTGCTGCTCTACTTCCTCCCTCCCAATCTCCACTGGGGCTTCTGCCCTCCGGCTCCTCCAAAACTGCTCTCAAGGTCACCACTGCATCTCGCCAAACCCATCTTGCTTGATCTCTGGGCCCAGGTGAAAGCCCTCCTTCTCGAAATGCTCTCTTCCCTGTCTTCCCTTGGTTTCCGTGGTTCCCACCTCGCTGGCTGCTCCTCCCCAGGCTCCTTGGCTGCGTGTCCCTTTGCGGACTCCTTCCCACCCTGCCCACTCTCTGTCCCTTGGGTTTCAATCTGGCCCACAAGCCAGAGACCCTCAGACTGAGATCGCCAGATGGACCTTCCCCCCAGGCTTGGCTCTCAGGCGCCTGCCGACTCCCCTGTCCTCCGGCGGGGCCCACAGGCACCTGGAACTCCGCAGGGCCAGGAGAGATCTGTTTTTCTGCTTGAAACTGTTTCTTCTCAAGTTGCCCTGTCTCCACTGCCGCCATTACCAGAGAGCCAGCTGCAGCCACGGTCTGTAGGTGTCGTTGCGGATTCCTCCTTGTCCTCACTCCCAGGCCCATCCGGCCCCAGGTGCTGGCCAGCCCACCTCCCTGTGTCCCCGGTGCCCCCCTGAGCTCCATCCCTGTCCCCAGCACCCGTCACTGTGGTTTCTGAGGAATCTCCTCATGGATCTCCTGCTTTCATGCTTGCCTCCCCCCTGCCCAAACGCTGCGATCTCTGTCAACTGCGTTCAGAATACAGCCTGATGTTCCTTAACTTGGCTTGGAAAGCCCGCTCTCCTTCTGCCGGGCAGCGCACTGGCTCCCCCCCAAGCCTGCGGAGCTCACTCTGGATGGAGGCCGTGGCCGTCAGGGCCTTGTCCTCTTGGTCTCAGCTTGATCGTCACCTCCTCAGAGACTCTCCTTGACCCAGCAGCCTAATACCTGCCCCCCTGGCCGTCCCCTCATCCCCCGTGAATCCTCTGCTTCGTGCTCACGGCCACCTGGAGACTCCCGACCACGTGCAGGCCTGGGGCAGGCAGGGGCCTCGGGTGCTCGCGTGAGCCCTGGGTGCCCTGTGGCCTGCAGGATCCCATCCGGGAAGGGCTGGGGGCGGGACTTCTCCTCATTTGGGCCCCTTTTGGGGGCAGGGTGGCCCTGGGCTGGCAGGGCATCGGGTGATGGCCACCACAGGTCTGGAAGACGCCAAGTTCAACACGGGCAGGGATGGGGAGTCCATCTGTGGAAATTCTCCTTTTGAAAAGTTAAAGCATATTTTCTATAGAGACAGCTGGGGATTCTTCTCCCTCAGATGGTGAGCTGCCAGAGGACAAGGCTGGCTGTCACCCATTTTTGTACTTTGGCACCTGGCACAGTGCCTGCCATATGGCAGGGGCTTAATGTTTGTTGAATGAACTCTTGGCCTGGCACCAATAGGCCTGAGCCTGGGCCTCGGAGTCCCCTGGGTGGGGGAAAGCACAGTGGCTCCCCTCCCAACTCCTGGCAGCCAGCTGGGCCCGACAGGGGTGTGAGCTGGGGGGACTGGAGCCGCTGGGAATGCTCCAAGCTCCACGTGGCCCTGGACGCCTCACCTTGGGAATCACGGCTTGGACTCGCTTGATCAGAGTCTTGCAGAGCCAGCAGAAGGGGAGAGGGATGGGGAACTGCTGCTCGGAGAGATCCTGGGGGGAGAGCGGGGTGGAGGCCAGGCTGGGCACTGGAAGAAGCATCCTCCAGACTCTGCCTCTCCTGCCTCCCCACTTCTCTCCCTCCTGCCTTAGACCCTTCCCAGGGCCTTTGTGGGATCCCACTGCCTGGCTGTGAGCACCTCCCTCACCTGTGTGTGAGGCCCAGGCCTTGGCCGGACGGCCCCAGGCAGCACAGGGAGGACTAGTTGGCTCAGCAGAGGGCCTGGCATCCCCAGCTCCTGCTCCGGTGTCCCCAGCTCCTGCTCCGGTGTCCCCAGCTCCTGCTCCGGTGTCCCCGGCTCCTGAATCGGCTCCGGCTGCCTGGGTGTGCACAGGCTGAGGTGCTCACAGATGGCCTTTGGGTCCTAGGGCACAGGACAGGGTGCGGGTGTTAGGTTCTGGGAAGGAGCCCCGCCCCTGCTCAGGCTGGCCCAAGGGCTCAGGGCCCAGGGCCACTGGAATGGGGGGCGCAGGATGGGTGGGGTGCCATGGTTTAGAGCTCCATGACGGAGACAAAAGGCAGAGATGGGGTTGTGTGGGGATTGGGGGGGAGGTGGCTGGGAAAATGTGTGAATATATATTTGTTAGAATGAATAAGCATGTAAGCGCGTGTGTGTGCGTGAGTGTGCAGGCCCGCCGTGTGCACCTGAGCAGGTGGGGCTCTGATCCTGGTGCCTGGCTGAAGGGCACTTAGTTTCCTGGGCCCATTGTGGACAGGGTGTGTATATGCGTGGCCAGTTGGGGTGCTCTGTGTGTGTGTGTGTGTGTGTGTGT